GATGGGGGGGGGGGGCTACGATGGGCAGGGGGGCCCCAAGCCCCCCGGGGGGCCCCCGCCGCCCCCCCGCGCCCCCCCCCGGGGTGGTCTGTATGTGTGCGCCGCCCCCCTGTGCCCCCTCCAGGGATGGTCTGTATGTGTGTGTGTGTGCGTGTGTGTGTGTCCCAGCACCCATGGGTGCCCCTACCCGAGCGGGTGCTGCTGGCGCCGGGGGGGGAATCGCAGTCGGAGTCGGCGAAGGCGCCGGCGTACTGCTGCAGCAGCTCCTCCATTGGCAGCGCCCCTGCGGAACACGCACACACCTGGCACACGCGGGGCCGGGGGGTGCCCCCCGCTCACACGCGTGCGTGGCCCCGCCTCCCTCTACACGCGTGTGTCCCTCTGCGTCCTCACACACACGTGTCCCCGTGTCCCCGCACACGCGTGTTCCCACATCCCCGCACACGTATGTGTTCACACCTTGCAGACATGTCCCCAGCTACTGCCACACATGTGTCTCCACGTCCTTGCATACGTATCCCCATTTCCCGGCACACGTGTGTCCCTTGTGTCCACACATGTCCCTGCACACGCGTGTCTCCACGTATCCCTACTACACGCATCCCTCATGTCCACACACATGTCCTTGCACACGCATGTCTCGTATCCACACGTGTTCCTGCACACGTGTCCCCCACATCCGCACACGTCCCCACGCACATGCGTGTCCCCACATCCACACACGTGTCCCTCCATGTCCGCACGTGTCCCTGCACACACGTCCACACATGTCCCTTCACGGGCGTGCTTCCATGTCTGCACACGTGTCCCTGCACACACATCCCCGTGTCCCTGCACATGCGTGTCCCCACATACACACACGTTCCTGCACACATATCCCCATGTCCACACACGCGTGTTTCTGCATGCACGCATCCCCCTGCCCACGTGTCCCTGCACATGCGTGTCCCCATGTCCGCACATGTGTCCCTGCATCCCTGCACACGCATGTCCCCATATCCACATGCGTCCCTGCACATGCAGCTCCGTGTTCCTTCATGCACCTGTTTCCGTGTCCCCACGCATGTGTGCCCTTATGCATCTGTGCCTCCGTGTTCCTGCACACACGTGTCCCCGCCCACACGCACATCCCTGTGTCCCCACACACACGCCTGTCCCTCACATCCAGACGTGTGCCTGCACATGCGTGTCCCCCATGTCCACACACGTTTCTCATGTCCATACACGTGTCCCCCCACACGCGTGTCCCCATGCCCCCACACTCATCCCTGCACATGCGTGTCCCTCCACACACGCATCGCCATGTCCACACACGTGTCCCTGCATGCACGTCCCTCACGTCCACACACATGTCCCTGCACACGCATGTCTCCGTTTCCCTCCGCACGTGTCCTTGCACACACATGTCCCTCATATCCACGTGTGTCCCTGGACACGTGTCCCCATGTCCCCACACACTCATCCCTGCACACGCATGTCCCCTGTGTCCACGTGTCCCTGCACACACGCGTCCGTGTCCACACACGCGTCCCTACACACGCATGTCCCTGTTTCCCCCACCCGTGTCCCTGCACACGCATGTCC